CTCAAGAGGTGGAGGAGCCAAATGGCTGGCTCACTGCTGCCAACTAGCGGTCAGAGGCTGAACTACAACACAAAAATGAACAGCTTGAATTAAGATCCATCTTGTCTTTCCTTGGTAAGGTTGCAGATCGCCTCATCTCATCCTTCGGTCAAGACATCCTGGATGCTCTGTACTGGACCGCCACTGAACCCAAGGAACGCAAAAGAGACAGTATAGGAGTGATCCCTCACTTCGTCATGGCTGTCTGTTATGTCTGTATCCTTCTGTTTTAACTTGTACATTTAAATCTAAAGTTTGGAATAAGCTAATATCTTTCATGTTTTTTTTAAATTATATTTATTTTATCGTGATTTGGTGTGGAGTAATAGTGTTTAATTGTTGGTGTTAGAGGAAGGACGTATGTTTTCCTGAGTATTTGTTCAGTTCTACACGCCATCCTCATCATGGTTCAAGCCTCTACGCTTAACGTTGCCTTCAACTCGCACAACAAGTCTCTGCTAACCATCATGATGTCCAACAATGTTAGTATACACACACAAACACTACACACAGGGCTGCACCCTGTCTAATGCAGAAGAATAAGCAGCTTATATAATATGTTAAGGTCTCTAATGCAGATAAAATAAGGAAGTGCTTGCTGCTCGATGTAACTTCTAGGCTGCTTGTTGGTGATTAAAGGTTACTGTTGCAGCTGCAACATAWTCAAACATCAAAACCAAATGTATTTGTTTTAATCCAACAGTTTGTGGAGATCAAAGGCAGYGTGTTCAAGAAATTTGAGAAGAACAACTTATTCCAAATGTCCAACAGTGGTAAGATATTTATTTCCATATAAAGCGGGGGTTGAGTAAAACGTTTTGGATAACGCTGCGGTAACTGTTCCATGGAAACAAAACTGATTTAATTGATAAATTTTTTAACTGGCATTCTTTGGCAACATAAAATTGTAATGTGTAAGAAACTGTTCTCACTGTGACAGAGAAAACATGGTTTTTATAGAGATTGAAATGAGTTTATTTTATYCTGCAGATATTAAAGAACGGTTCACCAGCTATGTTCTCCTCCTCATCGTTTGTCTCAGGAATATGGAGCAGTTCTCATGGAATCTAGGTAATCGATTTCTCTTAAAAACAACAGCTTCAGTAGCATTTAAAAGTATTTATTGCGTTAAAAAATATGTATTTATTAGGGGTGCAACGATACAGAAAATTCACTATTCAGTTCGATACTTTAGTCTCACTGTTTTATATTTTTTTCGATACAAAAAACAAATGTCCATGCCCCTTTTTGACTTGTAATTTATTTAAATTAATTATGAACATTTGTTTAACCTCAAAAGTCCAGTTTTTAAATTTAAATGTTGCTGAAACAGCAAGTTTCACAGTG